ATGTGCTGCGCTGTGGTGAACAAGTAGATCGATTACCTAATGATTTCTGCCAGGACACCTGCTTAAGGATGTTGTTGTTCCCACTGAACTGTGCTTGGTAGTGCTGTGTCTGGGTTATGGGAGTGAGAAGTAGAATTAGGGTTTTTTTTTCTCTTCCTGATGGAGGTGATGAAAACCTGTGAATAGGGTTGGGGAAGTAGATGGGAAAAGTTTGAAAGTCCTTTAAAAGCCTACCTTGTGCTATTTCTGGAAACACCACCAGTTGCTCTGAAGGACCGAATCAAGATTTAAAAAAAAAAAAAAATCCTTTTCAAGGCAGCTTAGCAAAGGAATGTATTAAATACAAGTGAGGAGACTTGGTTCCTGAAGTTCGGAGCTGAGAATTAAGGATCATGGGTCCTGTTCCCGCGTCTGCCATTGAATGGCAGTGTGACCTTTACCTATCCTGTCTTCCTCTCTGCACCTCATAGGATATGGAGATTTTCCTGAGTATCTGCTAAGTGCTTTTGCACATGGYTTTAAGTATAATTACGTGCAAATGTGTTGCTCTTTGTTTAATAATAGTGGATTTGAATGCTGGTGGTGCTAGTTAGTATTCTTGTGCTAATACTCATTCTGCCCAAGTTGTGAAGYAGAACTTGCAAATCGCTTTGATAGTGGAAGTGCTTAAGAATTTCAGTTGCTGTAACGGCCCTGAGAGCAGAGTTCTCTTTTACCCCCGGTACCTCTTCGACAATCTCGTCCCGGGCACTTTAACCGCAAGCAGAGTTTGAAGGAATACTGATCTTGGCCTCTCTTGAAAGAAAACCTATTAGATCAAATTGCAGGGCAGAGAATTGTCTGGCAGGGGCTACACCGAGACCCCCAAACATGATGCATGTCGTTCTTGGGGTTGGTTTTTATTGAGCTCTGTAATTGAGGTTGGTTTAGTACATGTGTTTTGTTTCTTTTTCTTTGTTTTCTATTTTTAGATCTTTGTCTGAATTTTTAAGCCTTTGAGATCACTCTCTTGAAACTAACTGAAGTCACGTGTGGCTTTTCGTGTGTGTGTGTGTGTGTGTTTTTTATTTTTAAATTAAAGCTCAGGTTTTCCTTTTCATTTTTCATACTGGGAGCTGGGACTTTACAACATACTATAGTCTCAGTGCCTACCTGACTGTCACACTTTGTAGATTTGTAATATTTAAAATGCTGCTTCTGATTTGTAGACATCAGAAACGCAAGGCTCTACCCTGTTACGAGTAATTCTGTGACTCCTGTGAATACAGAAACTTACTGTGGCGCAGTGGTGTCAGCTTTGGGTTGTAATATGCTGTCCTCTGGTGTATGGGCATGGCTAGCTCTGTGCTGTCACAACCCATATTTTCATCTGGTCATTTGGTCTAGTTTCAAATGTAGTTTCATAAATAATGAGCTCACATTCTTATCCTCCCCAACCCTCTTACAAATGGTATTGTGGTCTCTCAACTGTGGCAATACTACCTTTTCTGCTGATGGAAGGATACTTAGGTTGTTTTCTCCCCTTACTGCTAAGGATTGTATGTCACTTGTCTGTATTGATAAAACTAGGGAGTGGGGGGAAACTTTCTGTGTGCCAAGCTGTGCGCGTTCTCTGGTTTGTTACACAGTGAGTTTGCAGAAACTTGCCCTAGTTGGGCAAGCAAGCTGGTGGATCCGGGGGATAGCTTAGGGGAGGCGTGGTGAGCCTGCCACAGGGGCTGCGCGCCGGGCCCCTCTGCACCGTTACCCTCACTCACCTCTCCGCAAGCAAAACAGTTGTCATCTTCACGGCACAAGTATAGACACTGCTGGAGTGTGTCTGAGAGGCACTGGGCAGCTAAGCACTGTGCACACTTTCAGAGGAAGCACTGGAGAAATGCTCTTAATTCACCTTTTCACTTGGAGTTACTTTTTAAAGGGAAGGGCGTGTGGRGGGGAGCCTCTTACTGCTTGCTTTTTTGCCGTGCTTGGAAAATGGGCTTGCTCTCAACAAAAGGCATTGTAATGCTCGCTRCAGTGCGGGATTATTGCACAAAAGCATCTTGCTGTGCAATATTGTTGCTGTGCTCGGTGTTGTATGATAACACATGTTTCTCAGCTGTTGTTGATTCCTCAGTGGCACAGACTTCAAAGGGCAGAACGCAGAGAGCGCCACAGCCAAAGGGAAAAAAGGGGTTTGTTCCAGTGGCCTGTACCATCCATCTGTTTAAGTACTTTGCTGAGCTCTTCCCTAAGTGTTCCGGCATCCAGTTAGGGCTGACAAGTGATTATTTCTGCAAGTGGAACCCACTATGAGGAGATCACCTAGAGAACGTTTCAATGCTGGCTCCCCACTATGTGTAAGATCCCCCCTTCTCAAGCCTGCGAGAAGGGATAAGGCTCTTCATTAAGGACAACTTTCCACATGACGTTGTCTAATTCCTAATGCCATTGAAGACTTGCTTATTTTTACTCTATGCTGTCTTTAGCACAAGAAGGGAAGACTGGTAATGGGGGCAGAAAGTTATTTCTGTAGTTTCTTTCTCCAATGTAACAAGCCCATTTAAATGAGGAAATCTGTGCTATTAGACTCTCTTTCAAAAATACTTGCGATAGTTAACAAATCCCTCAAGTACAAAGGTAGCAATGTACCTTGCTGAATTACTTTTAGTTACAAAACATTGCCAGTAAAATTGCCTTTTTTTTTGGGGGGGGGGATGTGGGAGGGAGGCAGTGAGTCCTCATGCTACAGTATTTCAGGTTGACTTGGAGAAATACTCTGCAGCTCGTTACTGTGTGGCAATGAATGCAACAAGGTGTGTAATTACATGCACGTATGTTATGATGTGATAGGGTGTTACTAATTTATTTGTCTTTACTGAAGTTTTTATTTTGGAGTTAGTTGCGCAAGACGAGTTGATGACTTAGTTGCAAACTGACTCTTGAAGTCATGGCCTAGGTGCTTTCTGTAGCTTCAGGTACAAGGGCTTGGAGGGGAATCTTAATGGGAAGAATATAGGTAAACTATTGGGTGTGGGTTTTTTTTTTTTTTTTTTTTTGTAATTTCTATGAGTTTAATGGTGGGACACTTTGAGCACTGGAGCAAGTACTGTTGCTAGTAATGTTTTTTTTTACTGTAGGAGGATTTAACCTTCTTTATTAGTGGGAAATAATCATGTAGGTGACTAAGAGGATACTTGGGGTTTGAAAAATTTGAGATACTTACACTCTCAGGCAGTTTGATTACAGATAGAAAACAGAGCAAGTTTGAATGTTATTGTCTCCTTTGGTATTGCTCCTGCCTCTCTATTACAATGTGTCTCATGCATTAGAAAGGATAGTTCTTTTTTTTCAGTATCTTTGATAGGGATGTTCTATTGTAATTTGGAGAGGTCAAATTTTAATGCCCCTTTGAGAGGAAGAAAGAGGGAAATTTCTAGAAAATGTGCAACGTAATGGACTCCCATGCAGTGTCCACCCTTGCTCTACGGCTGATGTTTGAATTCACTCCCTTGCTTTGAAAGCTGAACAAGATACAATTTCCTGTCTTCCTATTTCACCTCAGTACAACAGTACCTGATACATTTCCATTGTGCATCTTGCTATGTCTCTGGATAATCCAGATTTAAAATGGTGAGGTGTCTTGGTGCTTTTTGTATCGTAAGCTTGTCTTTAATATTTTTAGTTTCTTTTTATTTCCGCTGAACTGGAAGTTATTGCTGGAAGATTTTGGACTCCTAAAGTGTTTGACAATGTTTCAAGCTGTTATTCAAAGGGGATTTGGAGTTTCCGGAGCAACCCTTTAAAACTTTACTTTTTATCAGCAGTCAGCAGTTTCATGAGTGTGCGTAAGGGAAGGCTGTAATTGCACTGGGCAGCCAGATGTTTTGCATCTCTGCCAAAGTGGAGGAGATGGTGTCGCCTGTGTTCTTGTCACTGACCTGCTTGGAGTTCTTTACCAGATCATATCACTCTGTCATCTCCTTCTCCTTCTTCCCCTCCTCATAATCGCCTTTCTGATTCTCACCACCTTATTTATTAATTTATTTGTTTTTAATTAACTTGATCTACCATCAGAAGTATACTATCTCTTTCTTACACATGCGAAGTAAGGACCTCAGGAGATGTCTGCAGAAGTCAAGCTCTTCCAGGAGAAGAAAGTGGAAAGATGCCAGAGCTAATCATATTTAAGAGGACTAGCAATCAAGATACTAATTGATTAAATGCTCTTTTGAGGCTGTATGGCTAACAATATTAACACTGCTACCTAGAATAATTGGTTTCTAGAGAGAAAGGTATGGGAGTACTGGGATGCCTTTGTCTTTTCCYATTAGAAAGTACATGGCTTTTCAAGCATATTCTCATGCATTAGTACTGCTCCTTCTGTGTTGTGTTTTGTGTGCTTGCTTTGGGCCTAATCCAAGGCTCCAAGTCAATGCAAATCTCTGCACTGATTTCATTGGGAGTGGGGATGGAAACTGTTAATGAATAGCTGTGTGTTTGATCCTATGTATTTCAAGTAGGGAGTCAGTGCTGATGGCCAACAGGATGAAGGAAGAACAGTCACTGAATACAATGCAACGCTTCCATGCTGCTAATGGGATTGGAACTGGTAACTTGATAGTCCCAAGAGATAACAAAAGCTATTTATCATACAAGGGAGCACTTAAGACTTTTTTTGAAGAAGAAGCAGGTAAAGAGTGTAGTAAAATCCTTAATCAGAACACATTCTAGCAAAGAGATCTGTCAGAAAACAACTGAACTAACAAGAAGTCAGAAAACAGTCTGAGCAGAAACAGTATTTTTCCTCCCCCTAATATACTAGGTTAAGCTACCCAATGAGAAACTCTAGGAGAATTTTCTTCTTTAGAGATCTTTTAGTGCAAATAAGACAGCTGTGAGGGTGATCTGATCCAGGATACTTTGGCCGCACAACTCGAGGATGGAAATCATGTTCCACTTGCCTCTTCAGCTTTTCTAACTAAGCATTAGAAACTTGTTGTCTCTGCAGGGAAAGCTAGACGATAAATGGAATGAATCTTCAAGAGCTGCTCTGGGCTGTAAGAAGATTTGACTGTCTTTCTGCAAGCAAGTTCTGTGTTAATGGATCATGTCTGGTAGCGGAAGCTAAAAGACTTGTCCATCTTAGGTAAGGTAGGAGGAAGCTGGGTTGTCACATGAATGTGAGAGCCATGTTTTAAAAAGTACTTGATAGTAACTTTCTGTTTACTTGAAGTTTTAGCAAGCCAGGGCTTTCAGTCTCTCTGGCCTTCTGATGCTTGCTAGTCCTCTGCACTGGGTGAGCYACAACACAAATGGTTACCAGGGCTTAGTTAGCGCTGCGCGGTGGCCTCCAGTGAAACTCTGTGCAAGTGGCCGGGGAGAGGAGCGCTCCTCTCCTTTCCTGGCCGGAGCGAACGGTGACCTGCCCCAGTTGCGCAGCAGTAGCGGAGCTGGAAGCACAGCGCAGTCCTGCTGTGTGCAAGACCAGAGCCCATTCACAGGCTCTGTCGTGTTCCCATTCCCGTGTCATCTGTTGTTGATGTGTCTGTATCCAAAATATCCTCTCTGGTCGCTGTTGCCAGACTCTGCATTGGCAGTGTGCCTCTTAAGCATGTGCCACTCTTCCTAAGCCCTGTGCTGCCGCCTTCACGCTCCACCTGCTATCATTGTGCTAACACTTTTAACCAGTGACTTGTGTGTGCCCCATATGTTTCACAGCACAGCCTTTCCATGCACTCTGCTGTTGTAAGTATGCCTAAATACTTGTTCATGAACTGCTGGCTTTCAAGGTTTTTTTTTTCTAGTTGCTAAACGACACTTGCTTTTTTGATAGGGAAGAAAGGAAGCAAACTTTCTTTTCTTCAGCTCTCACAGTTGCAGATAGAGGCATTCCTTCCCTGCCAAGCCAGTTGGAGGCAAGAGGGAGTTGCTTTGCTGCTGCTTTGTCCTGGGCTTGAGTTTAACTTATGTTGAGCACCTGTCCTGACTTCCTGTCRGTATTTATTCCCTCTCCTCTTCTTAGAATAACATGCTTGTTTCTGGCAGCTCTCTGCTTTGGCCTTTGAAGAAACTCAAACGAGGAGTTTTCTAGAATTCTTCCCCTCCCTTTCCTTGTCCTTCGCTGACCTCTAGCAACGTTTTTATCTTTCTTAACGAGATCCTCAATTTCATTTGTCTGCCCTTTTCCCTTTCTTCACTTTTGATTATTTTCCTAGACTTACTTAGAAACATCAACTGTTAGAGACATAAAGTACTCACTTTTTTTTGACTTCAATACCGAAATGTCTGTAGAAGGTAAATGTTTTCTATATGTTCCCCTCATGACAAAAAACTGCCCACAGTGGAGGGTAAGGCATTGCAGTGGGTATAATTCTATATTGTAATATTCCATATTACCTGTTGTAAAAGAACCCTCCCTCTCTGAATTTAAACCACTATTGCGGTATGAATACTTGCACATAAGTTTTCTAATATGTGTAGGAAATGCTAATGGCTCTAAAAAATATTTGCACACAGCAAGATAAAAAATGTAATATAAATAAGAGAAAATAGAAACGGTATTCTCTGTTGGTCTTATAGCTTCCTAATTGCTTGAGAAATTCCCTGTCACCTCTAAATAATGTTCTGCTGTTCTGAAGGACTTAAATTGTTTACTTCAACCTTGGAAAAAATAAATTTGCTTTAATTATGTGAGTAGGAGAGAAGCGGATGACTGAATTTATTTAAATATATGCACTAAAGATATTTCTTTCTGATTTTTGCAGTGCCCTTTGCATTTGTCATTCTAAATGTATTCAACTGCTTGAATAATTAGAAATCTATATGCTTTGAGCTGGATTTAATTTAATAGTTCTTTAATGATCTCAGGCACCTTGGAACCACCTATGTTTTTTATGTTGGAAGACAAGATTTCAAATTATTTTTAATTTTCAGCTTGAATAGTATGAATGAGGATAGCATTCAATGTATACACTCTTTGTAAGAAGAAGCTTCCTTCTCTTCCTCACACAGTCATAAAACACGCTGTAGGTGGAAGGTGGTTGAGCTACAATGAAGTACAAAATGGAATGGATTGAGGGAAGATTGTGCCCTAATGGATGTAGTGTCCTCCCTACCTTCGTGCTGTAAAACCCAAGAGGGTGCATAAAGACTTCCCAGCTCCCCATTAGATGGGATATTTCTGATAATCTCTCATCACTGATTATGGATACTGTTGCCTAACCTAGGCAACGCTGGCAGATTGCTCCTGTGAAGAGATAATAGTGCCCTAATTATAGACCGAGACCCCATGTGAGGCTTCAAGCCCAACAGAACTTCTGCTGCAGCTCTGGGACTTACAAGAAGAGGTTGACTTCTGAGTTTCAGAACTGGGAGATGAAGCTAGCAAAAATCTGAACTCTGTCAGAAACAGGGATTTCATAAGCAATGAAGCCATGAATAGTATTTGAATCTCCTTTAATTGGGGGGGAGAGGGGAAGCCTGCAGTAAGTAGCAGTACTGTTGAGATTTCTTCTACTTGTCAGCTTTTCAAGAACTGCACACAGATGAGAGTATCCCTGGCTTGATCTTAGGGTTAAGAATGGACCTGAGATGCCTTACCCATAATAAAAACATCAGTRCCGGATGAGAGATCTTTGCACATCTAAGTACTGCTTTCCATTTTTTTTTCCCATGAAGATGTGTGTTGTTATAACTACTTACGTGACTTGCTAGACCTTAAAAGAAGGGTTGTTTAAGTGTATATCCCATCCTGAGGTAGAAGGGCTGCTCCCCAGCCCAGCCAACTGTAACTCTATTGAAGTCTTGCTCTGCTAGCAAGTGCTTGATTCCATTTCATGAAAATGTGACTATTTCTGTAAGTCTTCCTAAATGCACAGGAGCAGACAACTATTCTGAAATCAAAGGCTCAGTAAAGTTGTGGTAGCCAAATAAGATGCCAACTGTGAAGTGAGCCACAACAGTAASTTCACATTTGCAGTGGCTGTGAGGCAGTGACAGGGAAACTTTGTGAAAGAAGCTTAACCTAGCCCAGTTTACTTAGTATCTTGACTGGGACAACAGCATGCACAAACTACACTAAGCTGTACCATCTGAGCTAGCAAGTAGTGACCTCTTGATATACTGTGGTCCGAGTTTAGGTAGGAAAAAGAAAGCTCAGGGTCCTTAAAACACAATTAATGGTACTTTGTGAATGACCTGTTAAGGGTCAGGTGTCAAAGGAAAGGCTCGCCTTGTTAGGCAGTGGGCACAACTATGTCAGAAGTACAAAATGGAAGAGTGTATTTGCATTACAAGCCATTACATTTGGTGCCAGTGGTATTGGTAAACTGTTAAGTTGTTTTTAGTAGTTGAAAAGTGTAATGTTGGCACTTAGATGCTGCCTGGCAAATGCAAACTTGTGCTGCTTGTACAGCGTTTTTTAACTTAATTTTTCTTGCAAAAGAGGTAACTTTAAGGAGCAGCATTCTAATTCTTTCAGAGCATACAGGGCTTTTGTACATTGCTTTTGTGTTCTTAGGCCCAATGGTATTTGAAAAATCTTGTATATCCAATGTGATGATCCCCCAATGAGTAGTTCTGTTAAAAGTGAAGCCAAGAACATTATAATCACTTGCCAAGCTTTGTCTGTAACAGTATCCTTTGCACTACTGTTACTTTGTTACTTTGCACTACTGTTACTGGCTCATTTGACACRTGAACTTGAAAAAATGTCTGATGAATTGGTGACTTGCATGATCCTACACTTGGTGTTGCTTGTGGGGGCTATAGAAGTTCTTGTTTCAATACTCTGMTACTTCAAAACCTAAAGATAAACTCTTTTTTATTAGCTTATTAACATGCATACTTTCATTCAATACTTCCCCATTTTCTGCAGACATGGAAAATAATWCCTTAATTTAACATTAGATTTTCTTTAAAGACTAGAAATGTGTGTGTATACAGTGTGTTCCTGCATAAACTTTACCAGAATGGGTTACTTAAGATACTTGCAAGCAAGAATCATCAATGGAATAAACTGGATTAATTTACCCAGAGCTTGCCCTTAGTACTTGTTGACTGAAGCACATGGATCTCATTGTGGTCACCTGCACTGTAGGAAGCGCTCAGGAAGGAAACTGCTCTTCTGACCTTCCGTGCCTCTGTCCRAGAGCTCTGCTTACCAAGTCACCTGCCCTGGCACCGTCACTTTCCTTGTGTCGACCTGGAGAGTGTCATGGAGTAGCACTGGCAGATAGATACCCTGCTGGCTGCAGCTTCTTGAGTTACTTTACTAGGAGTACATCTGCTAGAGGTCTTAAGTCACCTACCTATTTTCTCTCTCCTAGACTGCCTGAATCTGTATATGAAAAGTTGCTTCCACGCATTTTTACAGATGTGACTTAGAAATAACTCAAAATATTGGCTTCCATAAAATTTAATACTGGATATTACTCTGTTCATTCTGTATAAAAATGTACAAGTCTCACCTTTGAGCATCTGAAGCATCTGAAATTCAGATGATATAGAGCAGCAATCTGGTATGTTCAGTCATCCTCAAACAAATCATTGGGACACCAATCCCTCCTTTGTGTGGGCTTGCTTTCCTGTGCTAGCTTATTTGGGTTTGTCAGCTGTGGTAACTGAACTGTCTATTGTATTTTGAATTGGGAAAAGTGGTAGAATTGTGACAACTCATACTAAACTATGTACAATTCATTTRATGTCATGCACATGAAACTGGAGCCAACTTACGCTTAGATAAAAACACACATGCCAGGCAGCAAGAACCCCATGCTTTTTAACATGCGTCAGAAAGCTAATTGTCTTTAAAGACTAGACYTGAACTCTGCTTACTTGTACAGAATTACCAGTTACTCAGTTGAATAGGGTCATGTTCACTTACAAGTGTATTAAGGTATTTGGTTTTAGGAAAACTCTTTAGGATGTTTTGGAAAGCTAAAGTAGTTTAGTGACTCCAACCTTTATCAAGTGTAAAGCATTTAACAAAGGAAGTGATGAGGACTTGTCACAGACATTGTTAGGCTGAGTGCATGGTCTGGCTCGTCATTGATTAGGGAGTGTATGGAGTTGGAGAATTTCACTTTCTGGAGCAGAGTGGACATCCTGTGAGATTTTTCAGGACCTAGCTGGTTAAAGCAACCTGTT